AATGTTTAAGCGAGCTACCAACCATAGTTATATATTATTAAAAAACAACATAAAAATTATACATTCATAAGCGGATAACTTTTCCTCCTCAATCTACATTCTTCATAACGAATGTGTCAGACAAAAAAAAATTTAGCACAAAAAGTAAGAAAACTATACTACACGCCTACCCTCTTATATTCTTATACAGACTATCAAATCAAATTGACCTCCATGTATGAGTCTATAATTGGTTGTTCCTATCTTATGTGCTACTATACCGTCCATCAGATGCTCTAAAACTTTGTCAACATATTGCTTGCACCTCCGTGAAGGTTTTATGAATAGCTAGACCCATTAGGTGACGATGTTGCAGAATCCAGATATCACGCGCGCGAAGCGAGGGCAGATCACTAGTGTTAATAAATTATTAAGAATGAACATGTCGATTCTCTCTGATGCATTCCCTTCTTTATTACACTATGCAAGCGTACATTATTATATTGCACAAGAAAATATTATCATTTATGCCGCTAAAAGAGAAGGTATAACTTAAGAAAATGTAACTAAATTTTCATAACATGCGTTGTTCGTAAAAATTGACGTTTCAGAAGCAATATTTCAAGTGACAGAGCCGTGCTGCAGTCATAACATACTGCAGTATATAAATGCTATATCACTTCTTATTAATTCATCATTATCACGCTCTGTTATCTTGTACGTAGTAGAGCCATGCTGCAGTTATATTAGAAGTATAGTTATAGCACGAATGGGTCGGCTCGACCGGGGAAGGACCACGCTCTCAAAGAATACCAGCGTCAAATAGTAGCTTAATGCTGTTGTATATCGTATGGTGAGTGTAGAGAACTGGAGACCCTTTTTATTGGAAACGAGGTATTCTATCTTAGTCCTCACGGGCGACAACGCATCTGAATGTTGATTCGTAATTGAGGATAGATGTAGAGGTCTATGGGCCACAACAACCACTTACCATCAGGTGGACTGTGTGCTCGTTTGTCACCTTATCCTATTAAAAAAATCATCATTATCGTCATCATTACAGCCAATCACGGGTCCACAACTGATTGAGAGCACCGACCGATTAACAGAGCTGTGGCTGTCAGATACTGCTACAGCAGTATGCTTAATCGGTAAATTTATTGATTTTGATGCTGCAACCCATTGTGTTGGCTTTATTTGTGTGGTAATAATGAATACGTTTGTTATCGTTACGAATATAATATATAGAACTACTATTGCCTGCGGTCGAAGATCTTCCAATTTGATGGAAAAAACGCTAAATACTATTTAGTAACTGTTTTTGCAACATTTCCCATGGAGGCAAGACAAAAAGATCTTACGTTATACAGACACGAACGTGACCAAATTGTTGAAAATTGAAATTGAAAATTGAAAAAATCTTTATTGCAACAAAAACGAATTTATACATATCAATGTGATCCTACCTCCTGTAAAAGGTTAACCTGTGTAACAGGAGCTAGTTCCTTCCTAAAATTAACAAGCTTTTGTTGAATAAAATCACAAAAAAAATATACAAAAAATTTATATAGATCTACGTGTTACTAAACCTACGTATGTGCACGCCATGTATGTGTGTATTGTGTGTGTGTGTGTGTGTGTGTGTGTGTGTGTATGTGTGTGTGTGTGTGTGCGTGTGTGCGTGTGTTTGTGTGTGCGTACATGAGTGTATGTGTGGTGAGAGTGTGTTTTTACTATTTACTGTGAAGATTTTATATTTTGAAATTTGTATGATTGCCTGCATTATTAATGATTTATACGTATAATAACAAATAATATGAGAACAATAAAAAATTACAATTACATTTCATTCTATTGGTTCCATCGTTTGTATGGAAAAATCATGTGTGTTCACTAAATATTTACCTTCCTTACAACATGCACGCTTATAAATTTTCTCTTTTTCTTATTCTCTTATTTAATTCTTCTGTGTTACGTATGGTGAGTGTAGAGAAACGGAGACCCTTTTTACTGAAAACGAGGTATTCCACCAAAGTCCTCACGGATGACAACGCATCTGCATTTTGATTCGTAATCGAGGATAGATGTTGAGGTCTATGGGCCACAGCAACCACTTACCATCAGGTGGACTGTGTGCTCGTTTGTCATCCTATCCTATAAAAAAACCATTTCACCCTCCCGTGAGTCATATATGAACTTTTCAATTGTTTAACCTGTGTCTTCTTCGCGCACGGGAAAATTGTTAATTCCTCTTCTTATAAAATAATTACTAAAACAAAAAGTTCTGTGTTCATTTTTTGAAGTAAAATTTCTACATTGTCCTATCCTATAAATACCAAGTATCGTTCGTATATACTTGAGTAGATAGGTAGTACCACTTCTGGCTCACTGAGTCAGAAGTGGTACAACGTTCGTCGACTCACGATCCTAAAAAAAAAGGTTTTGACATGCTCTGATCACAAAATTTGTGCAAAGACGAAGTAGACACATACCAAGGTGGTTCAGCAGAAAAACAATTTTCAAAAATGTTGATGAGGAATGATAGAATTTTTAATATTGAAGAATACAAGTGTCCAAAATACAATGATTCGGTGAATGTCATAAATTTATTTATTTATTTATTTATTCACAAATTACGTTACATGTGACTTAGAGACTAAACGAAACATTCAAGTTCTAACAATCACGTGCAACTCGAAAGGCATAGCAGTGAACAGGAGAGTGGCAGACATTTAAAAATTCTTTTCCTCAATGTATTCATTAATTGAATAATAACTTTTTTTAATAAGTATATCTTTTAAAGATCTTATGAATTTATTAATATTTGTTTCGGCTTTTATGTATTCCGGCAATTTATTATAAATTTTTATTAACATCGAGTAAGGACCAGTACTGTGTAATTTTAATTTAGATTTTGGTTGCAAAAGGTTATTTTTAAAGCGAGGTACGTTGTGTCGGGGCGCGTCTATGATTGTGGTGTAAAACCTTGGGTGTCTTTTTACAAATTTACATATTTCTAATATTTCTAATATATACTAGCCTATATATATAGGCACGGTAATGTTAGAATTTTGAGACTTTGAAAGTGAGGTTTGCAGTTTTCTCTTTGTTTAATATTTGCAAGTACGTGTATACATTTTTTTTTGTAAAATAAATAGTTCGTGTGATTCTACACAGTTGCCCCATAGTATGACGCCGTAGTTTAGCCATGCTTGAGCGTAGGCGTCATAGGCTGTCACCGCCGTTTTTAAATTTGTAGTTTTTTTTTAATTCTCTTAAAACATATATAAATTGTGATAATTTTAACTTATTTTTTTTGAATATATGATTTAAAATTAACATTCAAATCTATATTTATACCCAACAAAGAAAAATTTTGAACACATTCTAATTTTGTTTGATTATATGTATAATTTATCTCTAGTTCATGTTTTTGTCGTGGTCTGAATTGTATTAGTTTAGTTTTTTTGAAATTGACTTCTAAATTATGATCGCTTAGCCATTGTTTTACTTTATTTATAATTATGTCGATACTTTCATTAAGTTTAGTACCATTGATATAAGGGAACACAAAGGAAAAAATCGTCGGCAAACATCACACAAAGCTCATCAATAATCTTGGGGAGGTCATTGATGTAAATAAGGAAGAGGACACATCCGAGTATGTGTCCTTTAAATTTAAACAAACGTGTGTAATAATCATATATTTGCAAAAAATAATCACAAAATTTTACATTGTTCTTGTGATGAAGTGTGGGTTTTTTACAAGTGGTTATTGCTTGAAAATAAAATTTTAAATTAATCATAAATTTTGTTTGATTTCCCAAAAACATTAGTTATAGTACACATTATATATTAATTGTTTACCTACACCAACTCTTTCATTTTTTATTTCACCCCTTAGAACTTTAGACGTGTGTAATGTTTGACTTTATACATCCGTTTACAGCTATTATGGCAGGACCAAGTGGATGTGGGAAGTCAAATTTTGTAACAAATTTCATAAAATCAATTACAGAAATATGTAACTGTGATTTTAATCAGATCACATGGTGCTTTCATGAAATGCAACCTTTATATAATTTACCAAATGTTAACTATCATCAAGGAATTCCAAATCTTAATATGTTTGATGTTGAAAACCCACATCTTGTTATTATTGATGATCTAATGAAAGATTCCGATGGAAGAATTGTATATATATTTACAAAAGGTAGTCATCACAGGAATCTCAGTGTATTTTATTTAACACAAAATTTATTTCATCAGGGTAAAGGGCAATGAGACATATCTTTAAACTCAAGTTATATAATATATTTTAAAAACCCTCGAGATAAAACTCAAATAAGATATTTAGCACGAAAGGTTGTCACCAGATAACCCAAAATTCATTGAAAACGCCTACAGGGATGCAACTCTAGAGGCGCATGTATATTTAATGGTAGATTTAAAACAGAATACCAATGAATTTTGTCGTATCAAGAAAAATGTCTTCCCATTTAATGGTTTCTGTACAGTCTACGTCCCCACAAAAGAGTTTAAATACACCAAGAATCAAACAATTCAAATCATTGCTAAATGATGCATCGTCGACTCATAACGCATAAACATTTGCTAAACGCTTTGCATACGCTAAACCAAAATATCAAAGAGCATTACTTAAAACGTGTGATGAAGAAGAAATAAACTGTATTTGTGAGTGTATTCATAACGTTTTACAAGGAAAAGTACCTCTTAAAGATCAAGATAAATAAAAACTGAATAAAAACAAAAATATACTCCGTAAACTAGTGCGTAAGTGTAAACATAAACTAAGAAAAAATATAATTATACAAAAAGGAGGGGCTTTCTTACCAATAATAATAGGTGCAATATTGAGTGGATTAGTGAGTGGACTAGCCAGTTAACATGGTAAATGCAAAGAAAATGATACTTATCGAACCTGGATTGATTCAAAAATTAAAACAAGAAAATAAGGTTAATAGTAATTTATCTCGATTAGATAATGAAATGCAAATATGATGAATAGTAAGACGGAAGACCGAAAGAAATGGATGTTATATTTACAAACACTGCAAAGATACCTTCATTTTACCGAAGAGGATCGTAAACCACTCAGATTACCAATTTATTCTGATACATCTAATAAAGATTCAAATGAGTTTAAAATTGGTTTTAAAAATAAAGATAGAGATCTAGAAACTTCAGTTGATGCTGAACCTTTGTTGGAGGAGAAAATGATGAAAATCAACTTTACCCACCAGCTCAAATACTCGGTTTAATACCAAAAACTTATAATAAAAAGGACAGTTATTACTAAACTTTGTTGAAACAAGTAAAAGTAAAATATATTGGGATAATGAAGGTAGAGTCATAATTAATAATGAAAAAATTTCAGGAAGTAATATTGTTGATTTAATAAATGTTTCACTAAGACCCTTAAAAAGAAGTGATTCAGTAGGGTGGGATAGATTTGCTGAAGCATTAAAAGATATTAAAGTACCACCTACTTATATTGGACATCCAAAGAGATATGAGTTTATTAACCAACTTCAAGCAAAAGATCTGAACAAACCAAAAATACGTAAAGGGCTTGAGTGGGAAAAATGGACCCCGTACTAGAAGAAATTAACAAGATTTATTATGATCCATATAATCGCGCTGGTTTTGGTAGTATTGATAAATTATCAAAAGCCACGAAGGGCAAAATGAATAAAAGGCAAGTAAAGGAATGGTTACAATCACAAGAAGCATTCACATTACATAAACCCATTCGAAAAAAAATTCCCGCGTAATAGGTGCATTCTATCAAATATTAATGAACTGTGGCAAGCTGATTTAAGTGATAAGCGAACTTATTCTCAATATAATGATGTTTTCAAGTATATACTTTGTGTTATTGATGTATTTAGTAAATATGTTTTTGCAAGACCAATGAAAATGAAAAGCTCAGAAATAACTTAAGAATGTTTTGAAAGTATATTTACTGAAAGTAATTTAACACCTACTCACATACAATCTGATAACGGTACAGAATTTGTTTCCAAAAATGTACAAAAATACTTTAAATCCAAAAAGATTAATTACTATACCACTAACAATCCTGACATTAAGGCCAGTATTGTTGAACGATTTCAAAGAACACTAAAAATGAAAATGTGGCGTTATTTCACTCATAATAATACTTATAGATATATAGATATTTAACAAGATTTAGTATACTCTTATAATCACAGCTTTCACTCAAGTATTAAGATGTGCCCATGTGATGTAAATTCCAACTATATTATGACAGTTTGGACTAATCTTCATGATAGACGGTCAAACAAACTTTCTTTAGAAAATCCTAAGCCAAATTTCAATGTGGGTAATTATGTTCGAATAACTAAATATAAACATGTTTTCCAAAAAGGATATGAATCAAATTGGAGTGATGAAATATTTATTATATCTTCAATAATTGATAGATCTCCATGGCTTGTTTATACAATAACAGATTTACAAAATGAACTAATAGTTGGTACTTTTTATGAAAGAGAATTACAGAAAATCACTTACAACCCCACCTCACAATATAAAATAAATAAAATAATTGACACTCGTTATTCAGGTAACAGAAAAGAAGTATTAGTGAAGTGGAAAGGTTATCCATATAAATTTAACAGTTGGATTTTAGCTTCTAGTTTTTAAAATTAATATGAATAAAGAAAGTTTTTATTTAACTTTGCTCAGCAATAGTTCAATGGAATACTTTCCTGATAACAAGACCACAAATTTTTCAACGAAATTACCAAAAGCTATTAAATTAGAAGGCGAATGGTCGGTTGGAGTTGTCGAATTTCAATATCCATGTACCATGTTTACTGTTCAAGATCATGAAAATGTTATATACATTACAAAATCTATGTTAATGCCTAATGAAGATAAACCATCCATAGTGTACTACAAAAAACATATTCCAGCTACCAACTATGTTAACGTTGAACATATTTTAAGAGTGTTAAATGGTATCGGAAAGAACTTGAAATTTAGCTATGATGAAATAACAAAATTTGTGTCTTTTTCTGTTTTGGATAAAAATATAACATCCGTAACATTATCATCCAAATTAAGTTTACAACTAGGTTATGAACCAAATAAAAATCTCTTAGAGAGAAATTTTGGAAAGTGTCCTGCTAATTTACACTTAGGATTACCATCTCAACTATTTCTATATTGCGACATTATCAATCCTCAGATTGTGGGTGATGTTATGACTCCTTTACTAAGAGTTATTTCATTAGATCCTACAAAATATATTTATGGTGCAAATAAAATGCACGTTTTCTCTCAACCTCACTACTTACCTGTTATGCGAAAAAAGTTCGATACGCTGGAAATAGTTATAAGATCGAGCACAGGACAAAAGATACCATTCCAGTTTGGAACCATGTGTATTATTTCCGAAAATTATAATAATTAATTCTCTTCGTGATCATCATAAATGTCCATATGAAAATTATTATACACATCAAGCTGGGTCAGGAATTGGAGTAATTTATAAGGGTTCATCATACCAACGCGGTCATGGTATTGGGAGCTTCTGGGGGGTTATTTAGATCAGTTTTACCTTTACATTCAAGTGGTGCTCGAGTGATTGGTAAGGAGGCATTAAGCGCTGGAGTAGGACTTTTATCGGATATAGTTGAAGCGCGTCCTATGGAGGCCTCAATAAAAGATCGTTTAAAGCAAGTTAGTATGAATTTAAAACGAAAGGCTGATGAAAAAATTGATCAATTTAACATGATAGGATCAGGGTATAAAACTAAAAGAAAATGATTGACCTCATTCATTCCACCATTAACTGCTAAAGTGAAAGCTGCGAAAAAACTTGGTCTAAAACCAAAAAATATCAAAGATATATTTTCAAATTAAATATGCTCTTCTAATCATTCTTGCTAGTGCGTTAAGTAAGAATTGGATTTGTTTGCACTACCGTCTACACAAATTAGCATTGAAAATGGATTGTGGATTCATTATAAACCAATTTCATCTCTTGGTGATGATGGACCTATCGAGTTTCAAGTTCCTGGGACAGGCGATGACTACATAGATTTGTCTCATACATTACTTCACATAAAGGCAAAAGTATTAAATCAAGATTCAACTAAATTTATATCTACTACAATAGTAGCGCCTGTAAATAATTGGCTGCATTTTTTAGTCAACTTGATGTTCATTTAACCCAAAAACTTGTATCACCGCCTAATAATACCTATGCATATCGAACATATATGGAAACCCTTTTAAACTATGTTCCCACTGCTAAACAATCTCATCTTACTTGTAGTCTTTGGTATGAGGATACAGCAGGAAAAATGGATTCTGCAGATGGTAAAAATATAGGATTTGTTAAAAGACAGGAATTGATTAGTGAAAGTAAGGAAATAGAAATGATTGGTCATCTTCACGGTGACATTTTCAACCAAAATAAATTTTTAATTAATGGTGTTGAAATGAGTGTTAAATTGGTTCGATCAAGAGAGAGTTTTAATTTAATTGCTGGGTCAAACGATGTAAAGTTTAAAGTTTGCATTACGGATGCAACTCTTATTGTTCGACGAGTACGAATTAATCCAAGTGTATTACTCGCAAAACAAAAAGTTTTAGCTTCTACCACTGCTAAATATCCTATTACTCGAGCTGAAGTAAAAGTTTTAACAATTCCATCGGGTGTTCAAGGAAAAACTCCTGATAATATATTTTAGGACAGGTACCCAAAAGGTGTATAATTGGATTTGTGACCAATTCTGCATTTAATGGTTCCTTTACTGAAAATCCATTTAACTTTGAAAACTATAGTATTAATTCTTTCAGCTTATATATTGATTTTCAACAAATACCTTCAAAAGCTTTGCAACCATCTTTTAATAATAGTATATTTACATCAGCATATCATACTCTGTTCTCGGGAACTGGTATTTACTTTCTTAATGAAGGAAATGGATTCTCTTGGGAACAGTATGCCAAAGGTTAGTGTCTATTAGCATTTCACTTAACTCCTGATTTATCAGCTAACTCATCAGCTCATTGGAATCTCATAAAGCATGGTAGTGTAAGGTTAGAAGTACGATTTGAATCCTCACTAATACAAACAATTAACTGTATAGTTTTTGCTGAGTTTGATAATATTATTGAGATAGATAAAAACAGAAATTTTATTGTAGACAATATTAGTTAAGGTTAATATGTGTTGTGTGTTAGATTTTATGTGTTATGTGTAATGCATTTTGTGTGTATGTAACTATGTGAAAAGTTATAAAATTAAATAAAACAAATTGTATGCAATATATTATTTTTTATTTCTTTATAAATCTTCTATTTAATCTAATACAAAACACTGTTCGAGTTTAAAGTTACATCGGACTCTCTCATTAGATCATCAATAATAACAAGATGTGGGTTTTCACCATCAAACATATTAAGATTTGGAATTCCTTGATGATTGTTAACATTTCGTAAATTACATAAAGGTTGCATTTCATCAAAGCACCATGTGAATTGATCAAATTCACAATTACATATTTCTGTAACTGATTTTACGAAATTTGTTACAAAATTTGACTTCCCACATCCACTTGGTCCTGCCACAATAGCAGTAAACGGATGTATAAAGTGAAACATTACACACCTCTAAAGTTCTAAGGGGTGAAATAAAAAAATTAAAGTGTTGGTTTAGGTAAACAATTAATATATATTGTGTACTAATGTTTTTGAGAAATCAAACAAAATTTATGATTAATTTAAAATTTTATTTTCAAGCAATAACCACTTGTAAAAAACCCACACTTCATCACTAGAAAAATGTAAAATTTTGTGTAAAATGTAAAATTTTTATTAGATAGTTTTACATCTAGAATAGCCATTTCTATACATTGAAAATGTTTATGAGGATATGTAATGTAAAATCCGTCCATGTCGATGATGTATCTAGTATTTTTTAGATTTTGTGTCATTTTGAACCAAAAAGTTAAAAGTGACTAAAAATATGTTTGTTCCAACAAACTTCACATAACAATGCTTCCTTAATTCCCATCATCCCATCTCTTCTTTCTGCTCTTGTCTTCCTGTAATTTAAGTAAACAGAATCATATTCACTAATGATCAACTAATGACTGTCATTGTTAAAAAAAGTATTTCTTAACTTTTTCACTTTCTGATATTGTCTTTGTATTCAGGGCTAGGAAATGTCCGCCGCGCTGCCTCAATGCGTGTTGGCGAACTTCACATGCCTTCGAAATTT